GGATGAGATGAAGAAGGATGGGAAAAAATACAAACCACTTTTGAATTAAATTTTAACTAAACTATTATTACAATCATTCATCCATTTTTATGGAGTTAGACTCAACACCATGGATCCAATGATGTTAACAAAGTTCATAATAAATAATTCAACCCAAGATCAGTCAGAAAATATTCACAAAATAATATTGCAGTTAATATATACATAAAAAAAGTTTTAAAAAGTTTTAAAATAGAAATAAAAGAGAGAAATATCAACTATGTTCAAATTAATCAAGAAATAAAAAGTAATATCATAGAAAAATCAGAAAAGGACTCAAATATTTTTATAAAATTTTTGGTAATTTTTTAAAGTCAGAAACTATTTTTAAAATTAAAAGAAATGAGTAAAATAAATAAAAAATGATATAAAAAATAACAAAGTCATAAATAAAAAATGAATGAGGTCACCAATATTTGTCACAATATCATTGGATCATTCCATAATTTTTTCAGAATTTAAAAATGCATAAAAGTATTTTTAAACATTTAAAACAATTCAAATAAAGTGAAAATTTATAAAAAATATCAAAAACACAAAATAAAATTGTAAAAAAATAAAAATCATAAAGAGAAGAATCAAAAATATTTTTCATAATTTTTTCAAATTTTTTGGACTAAAAATGAATTTTCTATGATTTTTTGAATTTTAAAACAATTAAATATAAAAATTAGAAAATAAAATAAAAACCAAAAAGATGTGGACCAATGGATGAGAGTCAAAACGCGTTAGTAATCAAATCCAAGGGATCTGACACGTTGTGCATATCAAGGTCATTAGTGAATAAAACACTAGATCATTTATTAAATCAAAAATTCAAAAAAACAAGTGGCGCGCCTTCATTCGTTGGAAGATGACACGTTGGTCATCTTCAACCTCCAGCCAACGTGAATCGCAGGTCTTTCAAACTGTAAAATTAGAAGCTCAGACTTATGCCATTCGCTTCGTCTCTTCAAGACGAAGACAACCACACCTTCGCGACAAATTTATATAAACTGTAGCTCAACCAATTTGGAAGGAAAGTTTTGAAAAGGGATTTGAAATTTCATGGTAAAAAGTTGTTTCCAGATAAAAGTAAGTGTTGCAATTAGAACCAGGGAAATGAGAGCTTCACAATGATATCAAAGTTTTGAAGAATTGATGGAGAAATCTACCTATTGAAGTTGAGTTGTAGAGCTCTGAAACTGGACTTCTATGGAGCAATGTAGGGCATGATTCTTGAAGGTAATTGTATGGTTAGCTTCAGGGAAGATCAAGGAAGGTGAATTGATAAAAAAAATTGATTTAAAAAGGCTTGAATACTGAGTACGAAGTTACATAAAATTGAGTTATGGAGCAAGTTTGGCAGGGTGATTCTGGCTATTCAAGCTTGAGAAAATGAATGGGATAGTTCATGTATTTATAGGAGAAGCAAATGGGATCAAAAGGAAGAGTGAATGATGCATTTTGGAGGGAATTTGTATGAATCTGATGCACGAGTGAAGTGTGATCTTATTTTCACCAAAACTCATCCAATCTTTGTGTTTTGAGGTGCTAAACACTTCTGCAAAGTTTGTTAATCAAGTTTAAATCAAAAACACGCATAAATCTTGTGATTAGAGGCCACATTATAGATTTCAAAATTCTGACTTGGTGAGAAATTCAGTTCCAAGTTACCAATTTCAAAACAATGACATTTTCAACTCAAGGGGTCTTTGGGCTTGATTCTTGATGCTTTAGAAAGATGAGGTTACAAGATTTGCAATGGAAAAATAATGGAGTTAAATGGATGCTTGAGCTGAAAGTTGCATTGAGTCAAAGTTGGGGGAAAAAGGTTGACTTTCCATACTTAGAAATATTTCAAAATTTTCTTCAAAAGTGACCTATAATGTCTTGCATCCAAACATGGCCTTCCACTTGGAATTTTCTCTTGACCAAAAAAGATGGTATGAAATAGACTTCTTGAATGACATTTTGAAACTTGAACCATTTAAAATATCCAAAAATTGAGAGAGTTATGAATTGTTGAAGTTGGCAAAAAATTATGAAATGACCTATAATCTTTTGCATCCTTAGGGAATCTTCTATCCATTTCCTCACTTTGCACATAAAATAAGGAATAAATTCAACATCCTCAAGATCATTATGGAAAAAGATTGGACTCAAGGTGATAAAAATTGACCAAGTTATGATCATTTGAAGTCACACCTGAGAAATTAGGGGTTCATCTAGAGGACTTGTAATCTTTCTTCATCATCAAGTTTCTTCCATATTAAAACTCCTTGAAACTTTTGAAGTGATTCGTTAATATCCCTTTGAAGAGAAGGATGTTTTTGTAATCACTCAAAACTACCAAAATATGAGCAAGATATACATCTTTGAAATTCAAAACCCTGGCTCCTAGATCAAGAAAATGCTTTGAGGAACTTTGACAATTTTGAACAACCTTCTTGTACCAACACTCTTGCTTTGTAAACAGAAGTTGTTGAGGATGATAATGAGAACTAATATCCACCAAAAAAACTTCCATATCTTGAGATTTGATAGAAATATGCACTTGTGATTAATGGGAACAAGACCTTGTCCAATCATGATAACTTCTTCCATCAACCCCTTGTTCTTTTGAATAAATTCGATAACTTTGAAATGTGATTAACCAAAATAAACCTTGTCATTCCATTTCTTCCAAAAAACTTCAATGGTTAGGTTTGAAGTTCTCAAGCTTTATTGACTAGGGCATGGAAATAAACTCATGAACCCATGGATCAACTTGCTATGCCATATTGCCTTTACCTACATTATTAACAAGTAAGACAAAACTAACATTGTATTTTATTAATTAAAAGGAAAATCAACACAAATCATTCATGATCACAAAATAAAACAAGTCAAAGTGCTTGGTGATTCCTCAAAGAGCAAAGTTAAAGATAGGGAGGAGAACGAAAGGCCCTAATGTGATCCTGTTGTGATTGAATCAACATGGTATGATGAAGGGATCTTAGGGGAAAAAATTGGGGTATAACATTTAACAATGACCCTCAAATACAAGATCTTACTCCCTCGATGACCCTTCGATGTTTCCTTCGATAAACGATCTTAGACCCTTACGAAAAATTTCTAAGGTATCCTACAATGTTGCCTTCTTTGACTGTATGACGACGCACACCTGTCCCTTCACATCCAATGATAGGGCTACTTATCAGTCAATGGTAAGATAGAAATATCTAAAGGACTAGGAGATGAACAAAGACTTTTGAGTAGGTAGAACGCTCGTAGTTTTTTGCTCACAATCATTTTCAAAACATCTTTCAAAATACACCAACACTTTCAAATGAAATATTTTTAAAAGTCAACACTTTGTATACATTTTCTCCGAAACGAGAATCATTAAAAAGTTCTCCTAAACAAAGGCACTTTTCAAAAATACTTTCAAAAAAATCACAAACACATTTTAAACAAAGCCTTTCAAAGCGATCAAGCAACTAAGAGCCCGTAGATAACTACGGATGAAAAGGGTGCTAACACCTTCCCTTTTCATAACCTACCCCCCGAAATCAAGAAAATTCTCAAAAGGTTTTTCCTGTTCTTTTCACCCTTTCCTTTATTGGATAAAAGAAAAGTCGGTGGTGACTCTTGCTATCCGTAACAATTGCGATAAAAAGCAAAACACCCAAGTCAGTTCTCTCACTGTAAAACATTGTGTATAAGCAAAAGTTGACTGTATCAGCTAATCAATGAATGAATGCAAAATCTTATCTTCTTCTTCTCTACTTGTGTTTCTTTCTCTGGTTCAACATTCATCTTCACTGAGTGAAGCATGAAATTCATATTTATCAGTTAACATTATACAATAAAAATATTGGTAATGACATTTTCCATTTCTTCAATGAAATGGAGAAAATATGACTCATTTAATTGATGATGGTTTGTTTTCTTAAGCTCTAACATAATTATTCTAATAGCTTTGGTTTTTGTGGTGGTTTTATTTGACTTTTTTCTTTTGATCTGCGTGTTTATTTTTTATAACCTTGTGATCTTTTGTGTGTTTATAGGAAACATCTAATGTCTTTTAGCTACATTTTATATTTGTGCTTTGTTTCTTCACTTTATTAATACTCCCTCTTTATCATAATAAGTGTCTTATTTGATCTTTGCGCGGTACTTAAGAAAATGATTAGATGTGTTTATTTTAATAATAAAATTAGTTTCATTTACTAAAACACTATTATTTATTATAGTTAGTGAAGTAGTTGAAAAATATGAAAGTTAATAAATAAAGGTATAACATTGGAAAAAAATAATACATGTTGTATTGGTATATTTTAAAGAGAGATTTATTTTGAGACATTAAAAAAGTGCAAATAAGATACTTATTATGAGACAGAGGGAGTATATTTTATCGTCATCACAGAAAAATATCCCTTCTAAAATATAATTCAATAAAGTTAACGAGTATACTTATTATGAGATAGAGGGAGTATACTTATATGGAATATAAAATTTAAAAAATATATTTTTTTTATTTACAAGAAAGTAGACAAAGTTAACGAGTATTTTAAGGTGAATACTTTTGTATTCTATGATCTAGTTAGATTATGTTTGTAACTATTAGATATAATTTTTGTGTTCGCAATTTTGATAAAGTAGTCTATGATGTTAGGTTGTTGTATACAGATAGGAAATTAAGAGTTTGTTACAATTTTGTTAAGTTCTTCTCTCTTTTGTATGAACCCTATATAAGGGATAGTAAGTGAATCAGTTGTAAGAAGAATTTTACACAAATTGTAATCATAGTAAATGTATGAAAATGAAAAGTATTATTTCACTCTAAGATGGTATCAATCACCTTCGATTCTTCTTTTCCTTCAAATATCCTCTTTCATCTTCTTCAAATATCCTATTTCATCTTCTTCTTCCTTCATTGATTACTGAGCTTCAAAGAAGCTCCAATCTTGCCTCTGCAACTTCATTCTTAGCTCCCTATGGCGATTTCACAGCAAGAACCTCAATCACAACCTTCTTTGTTCCTAAATTCCACCAATCACAATGTCTTTGGACCGAAACTCTCCATCAAGCTTCAGGAGAACAACTTTCTTCTATGGAATCAACAAGTTAAAGGGATTATACTTTCACACAAACTCCACAAGTTTGTTGCAAATCCCCAAATCCCTCTGATTTTTAAATCGGATAAAGATCATCTCGCCAACAAAGTGTTTGATGAGTATGAAACCTGGATTGTTCAAGATCAAGCGTTCTTCTCATGGCTTCTTTCAACGATCTCAAAATTGGTGCTTCCTAGGGTTCTTTCTTGCAAGCATCGTTACCAAATTTGGGACCAGATTCACAAGCACTTCAACATTGTCATGAAAGGTAGGGTTCATCAGCTTTGATCTGAATTGAAAAACACAAAGAAGGAAAATCGTTCAATCTCTAAATATGTGTTACGCATTCGTGCAATTGTTGATGCTCTGCTTGCGATTGGCGATCCTATCTTTGATAAAGATCAGATTGATGCGATTCTGCAAGGTCTTCCAGAAGAATACAATCCTTTCATGATGATAACCTATGGAAAAGATGAACCCTCCACCATCTATGACATTGAAGCCCTTCTTTATCTTTAAGAGGTTTAGCTTGATAAGTACCACCAAGAACTTGCTCTCACCATTGCCACAACAAATCTTATGCATAATGATGATAATCTAAGCTCCAAGACCACTAGAGGTGGTTTTCATCAAGCAAGAGAAAGAGGTAATATCTCTGGGGGATGTGGTCGTGGAAAAGATCGTAGAATCTACACTCTTGGGAATCGACCTACTTGTCAATTGTGTGGTAAGTATGGGCACTATGTGATTGATTGCTGGCATAGGTATGATGAGACCTTTGAATCTACAACACCAAGAAAAAATTCACAACCTACTCAAGCTAAACATAATCATAAGAATCAAGCTTCTAACTAAACACACGCCTCAACCTTCTTGGCTCATCAAGATGACTTAAACTTACCAACAAACCTTGAATCACATGCATGGTTCGCTGATTCAGGTTCCTCTCACCATATCACTTCTCAATAATGATCACTTACAGCACACACAACCTTATATTGGTTCTAATGAGGTCCTAGTAGGTAATGGTTAATTCTTAAAGATTAAGTTTGTTGGGTTAGCAAAGATTAGGTCTAAAACCGTACCCTATCCTTAATTTCTGTTTCCAAATTTTCTAAAGATAATGATGTCTTATTTAAGTTCCATTCCAATAGCTGCTTTGTTAAATCTTAGGCATCTAAGGAGGTGTTTTTAGAAGGATTCCTTGATGCTAGTGGATTGTATTGTTTTCATAATCTATCCATGGTGTCCTCTCTGCAACCAACTGCTAATTTTGTTACTATGTCTTCTCATGAACATGTCACAAATGCCCTAGATTCTTTTCAAATAAATTTTCCTTGTGGCATAATAGGCTAGGCCATGCCAATGTTGTAGTTGTTAAAATTATGCTCAAATTGTGTAATATTTCCTTAAGCAATAAAGATAGTGTTGAATTCTGTCATTCTTACTGCTTAAGTAAGTCTCATAGACTTTACGCCTCTTTATCATTAATTATTTACTCTAGTCTCTTTGAACTTGTTCAAACAGATTTGTGGGGACCCTCCCCAAATCCCTCTAGTCAAGGCTTCTCTTATTACATAACCTTTATTGATGTTTACACCAAATATACTTGGGTGTATTTCCTAAAACAAAAATCTAAGACCTTAGGAATATTTAAACTGTTTCTTACCTATGTTCAAACATAATTTTAAACCACCATTAAAGCTATCCAATCTGACTTTGGTGGTGAATTTATGCTGTTTACCAAATATCTCTATGAGTTAGGCATTATTCATAAACTAACATGCCCATACACCTCTCACGAGAATGGAACTATAGAGATAAGACATAGAAACATAGAGGAAATATGCTTAAATCTTCTTGCTCGTGCTAAACTTCCTATGGAATATGGGGACCATATTTTTACTGCAACAATTTATTTTATTAATAGGTTACCTACAATTACTCTTCCCAAGTTCATGTATCCTTTCCATGACATTTTTAATCATACCCCTGATTACACAACACTTAGAACCTTTGGGTGCTCTTGTTTCCCACACTTAAGACCTTATAACAAAAATAAACTCCAACTAAGAAGTTTTGACTGTGTGTATCTTGACATTTCTCCATAAAATAAAGGGTATAAATGTCTTAGAAAAGAAGGAAGAATTTATATTTCAAAAGATGTGATTTTCAATGAGAAAAAGTTCTCTATCTTAGTATGGTCCCATCCACAAGTAGGACTAGTACACTAGGCCCCTCCAAATTTATTCCTCTCTCAATAAAACTCAATACTAAGTATGTTGAGCATGACAACACACTACCAATAAGAGTAGTTCTGTACAGCCTATTATGCCTAACCTCACTATTGTGCCATCTATTGGACAGGTCACATCCATCTGGATAGTCCAACTCACAGTATCAACCAGACCTCACCTATGACCGTGGAAAATATCTCAATCACCTCTAATATCCACAATAACACTTCATCTGCCAACAAATTTATGAACAATGAAACTAAACATGTTTCCTCATCCCACACTCATCTTGCACCTCCTTTGGTTACTAATAATCATGGCATGCTTACTAGAGGCAAAACAGGGAATCTCAAACCTAGAAATTTTATGGCTCATTGTGAACCTACACATTTAAAACAGGCTTTAGCTCAACCAAAATGGTTTAAAGTTATGCAGCATGAGTATAATTCCCCTGTATCCAAGAATACATGGATACTTACTACCCTCCCTTCCCACAGGAAAGCCATATGCTACAAATGGGTATTCAAACTAAAAGAAAATTTTGATGGCACCTTAAACAAACATAAAGCTAGGCTTGTGGCTAAAGGCTTCAATCAACAATATGGGTTTAACTTTCATGAGACATTTAGCTATGTAGAGCCTTCCACAATCAAGGACATTCTCACCTTTGCTTTGACTTATAAGTGGGATGTTCAACAGATAGATATATACAATGCATTTCTTAATGGGACACTTAAGGAAGAAGTATACATCCATCAGCCACCTAGGTTTGAACATAAAAATAAAGCTCTTGTCTGTAGACTGAATAGAGCCTTGTATGGTTTAAAGCATGCACCTAAGTCCTGGTATGAAAAGCTACATCAAAACCCTGTTTCATTTTGGTTTTTTAGCAAGTAGATATGATCACTCACTGTTCACATAAAATTACCAAGGTATTACACTTTATGTAGATGATATTATTATTACATAGTCATTATCTCATCTCATTCACAAGTTGATCAATCAACTTCATGATCAATTTGCTCTCAAGAAACTTGGGAGAGCTGAATATTTTTTGGGCCTAGAGGTTAAGTATCAAACTAATGGTTCACTTATACTAACTCAAACTAAGTATTTAAGAGATCTCCTCTCTAGAGTCAATACGGATGGTGCAAATAAATTTCCCTCTCCCATGCTCAGTCAATGCAAACCTAGAAAGTTAGGAAATGATTTCATGGATGATTCTCTCATGCACAGATCTGTTATGGGTGCCTTATAATACATCACCCTTATAAGACCAGGCATAGCCTACTGTGTAAACAAGGCATGTTAAATTATGTCTAATCCTCTTGACAACCACTAGAGCATGGTGTAATACGGTGGGATAACTGACTCGGGTGTTTTGTGTTTTATCGCAAATGTTGCGGATAGCAAGAGTCGCCACCAACTTTTCCTTTATCCAATAAAGGAAAGGGTGAAAAGAACAGGAAAGACCTTTTGAGAATTTTCTTGAGTTCGGGGGTAGGTTATGAAAAGGGAAGGTGTTATCATCCTTTTAATCCGTAGTTATCTACAGGCTCTTAATTGCTAGCTCATTTTTGAAATGCTTTGTGTTTGTGTAAGTTTGAAAATGTTTTAAGATTTTTGAAGATGGTAATTTTGCAATGATTCTCGTATTATTGAGAATGTATACAAAATATTTTGTTTTGAAAATATTTGTCTAAAGGGAGTGTTTAGAAAGATATTTGTTTTTGAAAGTGTAAGGTGTGGAATGGTTTTAGTTTGTGAGCAAGAAATTACGACCAGTCTACCTACTCAAAAAGTCTTTGTTCTTTTCCTCCTTCTTTAGATAATGCTTGTCTACCATTAGTTAGTAGAAAGCCATATCATTGGATGTGAGGGACAGGCGTGGGTCATCGTACATTCATAGAAGGTAACTTGTAAGAGATTTTAGCAATTAGAAGGGACTAAGATCGTTAATTGAAGGAAATATTGAAGGGTCATCGAGGAACTATGATCTTTTAATCGAGGGTCTTTGCTAAAACATCTCACATTCGAGGGACATGACTGTTTATATCTGAGGCAACAAGTATGAGTTATCCTAGAGGTGCATGTGTGCAAGGTGTATTGATTTCAAGTATATTGTCTTTGAATTAGGATTTTCTATGGTTTGATTTTAGTCTTGTCATGCAAACCCTAATTACTAACAATAATAAGGAAAGTGATAAATTGCGGAATTTAAATATCCTACGCTATTACAACGCTTTGGGAATGGGGGGTACAAGTTTGTGAAATAGGGGGAAGAAAGCAATAAAGTCCTAATTATCTATTACAAACCATGTACATGAATAATGATAGAATGTACAAAATGTAAAGAGGAAGAAAAAGATTGTTTTTTAGGGTTTTTTGATGGAAAAGGTTTCAAGATTTAACCTAATTAAGCTAATTAAATTTAATTATAAAGGAAACTAATTAATTATTTTAAAAAAGCCTAAAATCTAAGTTAATTGAAATTAAGAAGAAAATAAACCTAAGTCTAAGTAATTTGTTTAGAAAATAATTTGAATGTTTAATACTAATATCAATTTGTAAAAGAAATAATAATATTAATTTAAAAAAATAAAATATTTACATTAAAATATTTTTAGTTTGATTATTTAAGAAAATATGTTTTTATATTTTTTAGGTTAAAAGTAAATAAATAAATGAAATATAACAAATGTAAAGTAAAATAAAAAGAAATGGGCTGGAATGTTTGAAAAGAAAAATGGGGGTTAAGAATTAGTAAAAAGGCCCAAGTCTGTTTTTGTTTGAAATCAGAAAACAAAATAAAAATATAAAAAAAGATCATTGGGCCTGCGCTTTTTTTAGTAGAAAGGGGGGGGGGGGGGTAAGAATCAGAAATGAAAAGGCCCAAACAGAAGGGTCCAAGCGCTTGTATGGATCATGTGTGACTGGATTTTGAGGGGTGCATCATAGGCTTGCACAATGGAGTGCTGGAACTGGTTGCGTGATGATCATGTGGTGTTGATATGAAGTCCATGGTAGGTGCCTTGTACATGATTGCATTGG